TCCTGCAGCCCCGTAAGTGAACAATCGCCAAACTCTGTTGCTGGCCTCCGTAGGAGGTCCTTCAAGGGAGAAGTCTTCGACAACGAATTCTGCGAGCACTTGCCCTTTGATGGCGGGTCTGGATGCATATTTGATGTCATAATCGCTAAGCTCAATAGCCCACTTCGTCAGCCTTACTGAGGTATCCATGCTTTGTAGGATCCCTTTGAGTGAGAGATTAGACAATATCGTTATGGGATGTCCCTGAAAATATGGCCTCAGCATCCTAGCTACCGATGTTACGGCTAGAACCGCCTTCTCTACTGGTAGGAATCTCGTTTCTCCCGGTAGTCGTGCTTTGCTCACAAAGTAGACCAGCTTGTCTGAACCATCTTCTGTACTTCTAAAAAGGACAGAGCTCACGGCTTGCTTGGAGACTGCCAGGTAAAGATCGAGCCGCTCTCCCTGGAGGGTGGCGCTCAGGACTGGTGGAGAGCTAAGTTGTTGTGTTAGCAAGGTGAACGCTTTGTCACATTCGGCGCACCACTTCAGTCGGGCTGCTGAATTCTTGAGCACTTGAAAGAAAGGTGAACACTTGTCAGCGAACCGTAGGATAAATCTCCCGAAGGCGGCCATTTTCCCGTTGAAGGCTTGGATTCCATTTATTGACCTTGGTGGCTTCAGGCTGAGCATATCTTCCATTTGCTTTGGGTTCGCCTCGATTACCCTCTTGGTAATCATGAAACCGAGAAATTTACCCGCCTTTGCTCTAAAGACGCACTTGAAAGGATTAAGCCGCAAGTTCCACCGTTGCAAATTCTCAAATGTTTCGTACAAGTCGGCCAGGTGCTCGCCAACCTTTTTACTTTTGACTAGGACATCGTCCATGTATGTCTCCACATTTATTCCCATCTGGTCCTTGAAGACCGCATCAACCATCCTTTGACAGGTGGCTCTGGGCTTTTTCAACCCGAAAGGCATGATGACATAGAAAAAGTTGTCGTGGGGGTCATGAATGCGGTTAGTTCTTGATCGCTTTGCGTCATCCGGGTTTGGTGATATCTGGAAAACATGTCCAGTAAGCTGAGTGCTTCGTGGTTCACGGTCGCGTCAATGAGCTGATCAATGCGGGGAAGAGGGTAGGCGTCCTTGGGGCAGGCTGCGTTGAGACTAATGAAGTCGATACACATCCTCCAAGCGCCTCCGACCTTCTTTACGAAGACGGGATTTGAGATCCATGTGGGGTATCTCACTTTTCTGAGGAAGCCCGCCTTGAGTATGCGCCGGCTTTCCTTTTCGAAAGCCATTTGTTTCTCCAGCTATAGGTTTCTTCTTCGTTGTTGTATCGGCTTCGCTTTGGCTTTGACGGTTAACCGATGTTCTGCGACCATTCGTGGGACGCATGGCATGTCTTCCGGCCCCCACGCGAAAAGATCTTGGAATTCCCAGAGAAGCTTGAGGAGCTTTCGGGCTTATTTCTCTGCCAGATTTGTTGAGATTCGCACTGTCTTTTTTATTGTTCCATGTCTAATGCGAATGCCACATCTGCCTCCAATGTCGTTCAGCGGTGAATGTCCCCTCGGGCGTTGACAAGATTGACTTTGCCTCCTTGTGATTTCATCGGATGCTTCCCATTCGTCCTCCACTGGGAAATTTTAACGTTTGCTGGCATGGAGGGAATCGCCTCAAAGGTTGCGAGTAAACTATTTTCCAGAATGGCGTTGTATGTGAATGGACAATCTGCCACGTGGAACTCTACGGGACACATCTTTGTGACTCCCGCTTGGCCTATGGTTACCTTGAGGGTGATTGACCCGAGAACACGCACCATCATTTCGGAGAAGCATACCAGACTGGTGTTGGAGGGATGAAGTTCTTGGACACTCTTTTTGATTTTCTTGAGCATTGAGTAGAAGAGGATGTCCGCAGAGCTTCCATTGTCTAACAGAGCGCAGGTGACTCTAAACTTCGGTCTGAAAGGAGATGACCAGTGGGTCTTCACCGTTTTCCTCTTTGACTAGCTCGAACGCAAAGAAGGCGAGTCAGCTGGCGCCTTTCGTTGGACATTCAGGCAGTGTACAATGCGGTCTCCTTCCGGCCTCATGCGCTTTCTGCCGCCAAAAATTGTTACGATTTCCATTTCATCTTTGTCGTCGCGCAACACGGTGGCGAGGGGGATCTTGATCTCTCTGTTCTAGTTCACCTCGCTTTGTCTAACTCTAGGCTCCGAGAAATTTCTTGTGCTTCTTGGGAGCGTTCTTTGTGTGGTTGTCTGGTCTCCAAGCGGTTGTGAAGATCTCCTGGAGCGAGGTACTTAAGGCTGGCTCTGAATTCCCTTCACTCTGCGATGTCGTGGGTGGCCGCTTGGTGTTAGTTGAACCATTTCTTTCCCTCTTGCTGCTCCTGTCTGGGAAGCGCCTCTTGCTTCTTCCCTCCCCTTTTTTTTTTCTCTTCCACGCTCTCGATCAGTAGAAAACACTTCATTTCTCTTGTCCCGCTCAGAGTACCGGTTTCGATACGCCTTTCACTCTAGGGAGCGTCTCCTCGGTCATGGGTCTCGACCAGGGGTCGAGGCTTCCTGTTTCGATCGTCTGCGATTAACGCTTCTTCAAGTAATATAGCCCGCTGGACCATCTGCTCCAGCTCCGACCACGACGAGAGGGAGGATTCCTTCTTTATCAGGGATCTCTTCAGTTCAATGCTATTCGTTGACATCCTGAGGTTGCCCGCGACCACCACTGGGGAGATTCCTCGTATTCGACACACAATTTCATTCCATCGGTCGTAGAAATCTGTTAGTGACTCTTCCTTCCTTCGACTGCAGTTGATGAGAGCCGACACAGTGAGTTTGCGTCTCCGTTGGGACACAAACTTCGTCGAGAACAACATAGCAAACTTTTCAATGTTCTCTATGCTCCCTTCGGGGAGGGAGGTGTACCACGTACGACATTGACCACTGAAAGTAACCAGGAACGCACGAAACAGGTCTGAATCACAGGCGTTTATGAGCTGCATATTATGGGACAATCCAAGTACCACATCGGTAATACAAGGGAAGGAACCCTTGTATATTAGAGTCCACCTAGCCCAATTAGTACGAGGCCTTTTGGGGAGGACACCCAAGAGTAAAACCGTGCGGGCATGGCCCAAAGCGGACAATATCGTACTAATTGAGCTCCCGAATTTGACACGTAGTATCAGAGCCTGGTTCGAGTGCGGGGCGGTGCACGTCAGTTTGGTGGACCCTCATTCGGTGACTTCGAGATTTGAGATCAGCGTCTGCTTGCACTGCATTTTCAGAATGAACGCACAAAGATGATTCGTGGGATATGAAGTCCCTCTGTAGGCGGGTCGCCCCAGTGATGAGAGTTTGGGGGTACCCGAGTTTTGAATAACTCTTTTTCTAGGGGGTTTCGTAGAATATTTGTCCCCTTGTGCCTCCTGTAAGTGGACCACAAATGTTCCTCGAGGAATTCGAGGTCCACGTCTTCTGCCTCCATTCCCCCGCTTTCTATCTGAGGAAGACTGTAGGGTATGAAGGCGGTCTTCTGCTTCTCCTCCCGCAGTCTACCCTTTGAGTCCTCGGCGGGGTCTTCTTTTGTCTTCAAGAGGTGAAGTATTTGTTCGAAGATATTCTGCAAGCTCCCGATCTGTTGCCCTTGACTTTTAAAAATATCCTCCAGCTCTGTCTCATCCACGATTCTTGGTGATATATACTTCAGCGTTTTGTTTTCGACCATTCCCTTGAGCGGGTGTTCGAACTCGTCCCCCATATTTGTTGTAGCGAGTCTTCAGGCCCCACGGTGCGTGCCAAAATGTTTAGGCCTGATTAGTACCAGGCTGTTGGTGAAGCTTCATAGACCGCTCATGGACTTTGATCGGGGGCGGTCGTGTCGTGCCTTGCAAGGAAAGGTCCTTAGTGAAAGTCTGGGACCTCCTCCGATCTTTAAGAAGTGAGAGAATTAGAGAATAGTAAATAAGAGTGAGAAAGTGGTGGTTGGAAGTTACCATAAATGTGACCCATTGAGGGGTATTTATACTAGCGTTGGCTGGGGTGATGACATTTCATGCTTTATTGGGCGTCTATGGATACCTCTTGGTTCATTAAATGCGTAGTCATAATTGTATCTTTGTCAGTCTCCGTACTGAGGCAGTCAGGAGATCGTTAGACCCTTACGTCATGCGGTCGTCCAGGTTTACGTTGAGAATAATGTCAGGCGGTTCCCTTAGTCATTCACGAGGACCGCCTCCGGGTGGGATTTCTAGTGTATCCCGAGCTGTTTCCGCCGAATTTGTCTACTTATGGACTTTTATTGATCATGGGCACCCACACGTCTCAATGAGTGGCCTATACGTCTCAATTAGTGATCCATTTATTAAATTTGAGGCTAGGAAATGCACCCTCAGAAAGTCCCATGGTTGTTTGTTAGGGGGCTTCTTTACGGATTTGTGAATTTATACTATTATGCTTTTGGAGTTATTCACCGAGAGTTTTAAACATGATTTCTGGTTTGGGTGCCAATGACTAAAACATCCTTGCATCTCAAGTCTCATGTTGTGGTGGACCTTTGGATAGCCAACATCAATATTTTCGTATGCACATTTTTTTCGATCTCTTCTTTAGCTTGATTACAAAGTAAATATAGTCAATGGTTAGAGAAGTAACAAAGAGCTGTAAAATTAAAAATGCACAAGAAAACAAGTTATCAAGGGGAGCAGTTTTGTAAACAATTGGCTCAATTTGATAACCACTAGTGCGAAAGGACGAGGCGATTGGCTAACAAATAGTCATCTAATTTTCAATTAATGAGGTTCAACTTACATTCATGTTATGGATTTCCAATGCCACCTTTGTGTCTAAGAACTCTATGAATATACTCTAGTAAATTCTAAAATGACATCTTTCCTTCTCTATCTTAGGTGAATATATACAAACAAGAAAGTGTGTAGATACAAGATTTGGCTTTTTTCTTTTCGTATCTATCTGAACAAAATCTAAAAAAGAAGAAGAAAATTATGAACTAATAATCTTCATCACCTGAGCTTCCATCATCTGAACTAGATGATTCGTTGTTTCTCCTTTCGACAATGGCTGGAAACAACCGGTTATGATGATTTTTGTCCTCAACTTCTTGTTGTTGAAGTACTGAACTTTGACGCCTCACTTGTGTTCTCTTTCTTCATAGACACTTTAGTTGTAGGTACTTTCTTAGCTCTCATTTCCTTTACTTCTCTACATGCCTTGTCAAGCATTAATGTTACGAAACTCCGAACAATGTTGAAAAGTCGTAACCCTTCTTCTTTCCCTGACTTCCCATGGAAGTAATCTGCCGCGCTCTGTATAAGTCCTGATATCCTCTTCTCTTCCTCTGAAAACTCCGAACAGCTCGTACTCCTTCGGAACGAATGATTTCTAGAACGACGAAGTGTAAAAGAGTTGTCTTTCCATCTATTCCTTTGACATCAGAGAGCTTTAGAAGGGTGTCAAGCTTGAATGCTTGTGCGCCACCTCGGTATGTACCGTCATTCATTCGGTTTCCAGTTTTGAGAACTGCTTCTAGTAGTTTCAGGAATAACCTGCTATTTTTTAGCTTGTTGCTAGCTACCTGCCATTTTGGAATGGAGTAAATTTTAGTACTGAAAAATTGGAAATAATACATACAAAACTAAATAGTATCTACTTGAGGTTTTAGTTAGGTAAAATATGGTGGAAAATCTTTGGACAAATTTCATTTTTTCCAGTTGCGATTTTCATGTTCCGTAGAAAAAAAGAGATACTATTTCATTCCCTCACCTCTAGAGTCACAAAGGATTCTTTAAGAGTGGTAACTTTTCTTGAAGGCAACTCATAAATAACAAGGATTCAATTCTCTTGAAAGCAAAAGGGACCTCAACCAATGTTTTAAGGAAACGTTCAGCAGGGCCGAGTTGAGAAATCTCCCCGGCATATAGCCTCAGCTTCAATTCCTCATTTGCTGTTGATGCCATCTTCAACAAAGTTTGGGGAAGCTCCACTGGAAGTTCATTAGCTGGATTAAGCCGGAGTTCAAGTGTAAGAACTCTTGCATGTTGGATAAAAAAAAATTAGCAGGAGAGAGAGCAAAAATTTACCTTCTCGAAGAGCATCAAGAACTTCTTCAGTAGTCACATTTAGTGATTTCAAAAGTATAGATAGATTTTGAGCCTTCCTAGGATCTATAATTTGAATGTATTGAACTGAATTGTCAACCACCTCTCTCTTACGCTCATTCTTATTCTTATTAGCATTATAGCCAAAAAGTGATTCTATCATCTCCTCGTCGAACCTGCAAAGCCAATGATGATAAGATGTAAAAAGCAAAACAAACATGGATGGTGAAAAAAGATAGAGAAATTTTATTGACAGAAATTCAAAGAAGTTTAGAGATTTGTATATTCTTACTGGAAAGATCCACTGCTAATGTCATGCCATACCATGGAGCGATTAGGACTGGCCATAACCTTATCCCAAAAGAAAGGTTTGAGCTTAGCTTTTTGACCTCCATCGTCATCACCATTTGGATCGTTAGAAGCACCAGGCCTCTTTGGTCCTAGAGGTGAAGGTTGCTACTGCTATAGCTATAATGGCCACAAGTGTTTGCCTCTCGATTTCTTCCTTTGATTTCTTTTTATGTTTCTTGTGTTTTTTCTTGTAGTCTGGAATGGAGGGTGGTGGTGATGATGACTCAAGTTTCCGACGGTGATGAAGGTTTGCTTCGTAAAATAGGAGAGCCATAGGATTGGAATGTGAACTGATGATTAGTGTTGATTCATGTAGAGAGGATGGTGTTGAGCCATAATCTTGAGACCTTAAAGCAATTTTAAAGCTATCAGATTGAGATGTTGAAGGCGGTAGAGGATTCGACACATTCTGGACATCATGCTTACTAGCTACATATCTTCTTTGAGTATTTATAGGCCATTCTAAAACTTCCTGAAAGCACTGTGTGAGGCAATGCGTAGAGCTGCTACCACCATCAACAGTTTTATCAAAGAGAAGATTCTTGTTTCTCAGACAATGAAGGAGTTCTCTCTTTATTTCTAGCGACATAACTCTAATAGTATTCTGAATGTTTGTTTTAGCTAATGAAGATGGATTTTAATTCACTGATTGATTATTATTAGAATTATTAAGTCACAAGTTCTAAAAAAATTACCAAAAATAAAAGTTACTGTTCCTTAAGAAAAAATCGGAATGCACTGTTCACGGAGGGATTTTCTTATCACCTGCGGTCAGTTTTAGCTAAGCTCAAGTCCACCACATTGGGCTGGACAAGCTGGGCCATTGATCTTTCTTATATTTCTTCTTACGCATGGGGCTTATGTAAAAATGGCCGCACCTGAACCGTACCATCGTCTCTTTCTTTTTCTGTGCGTCCCTTCCTCTTCTCTTCATTCCTTTTTCCCCCATTCAATCTACTTACTACCAATTGTTAAATTCACTTTCCCCCCCCCCCCCCCATTCGTCTTCCTCCCAATCTCAATCAAAAACCTCTTGATTTTTTGAAAAAGAAGAAGAGGACCAGGTAAGAGCGAGAAGATCGTAGAAACGAAAACCTAGGAAATAACCGGCGCCCCGCGCAGGTGCTCACCTGCCAGAGAAGAAGATCGATGTAGCGCTTGCCGGATCTAGGCTCCGTGAGAGGGCATAGATCGTTTAGGAGGCTTACTCTCTGAACGCGCTCAACGGCTTCCGAAAGAAAACTAGAGCTGGAGCTGTCAACTTCTCGAGGTTCCTCGATTTGGTGCCGACTACGAGATATCTTGGGTATTGTTGCACGATTGCATTGACGGTTCAAACCTCTCCATCAGTGGATAGACGGTGAAGGTAGGTGGTTCAAGTTAGTGGTTTAAGATTCTAAATCATAGGGTATCTTGATGACTTGATAATTGATTTTTGTCTCGGGTGGTTGGTAGTTTAGTTTGAGTTAGATGTTGCCGTAGCACATTGTGGTTCCCACTTTCCAGTTCATGATTAACTACTTATTTACCATTTAAGATATATAATTAGGAACAAGATTTGTTTGGTTCTTTTTATTTGATCAGATCAAATAGCACATTGATGATCCAATTTATCTTGCCGAAGTTGAGGGGAAAACATCAATCTTGGTACATTGATGCTTCAATTTACACATGAGCCTGATCAGTTCTATACTTCTATTTACCCATGAGCTTGATCAGATCGAATAGCACATTGATGCTCCAATTTATCTTGCCCTGTTTGATTCTTTTTGGTTGATGGAATGGAATCCGAGTGGATTATAGTGTGGGTGGTAAATTTTAAGAGTTGCTTTTTTGCAGCATTGATTTTTGCATTGGAACCCAACCAACATTAGTGTCTACTTATGGACTTAGATAATTGAATCCTAGAGCTTTAGTCCTATGCGTTAATGACTCAATTGATTCCTAGAGATCTAGCATTGACCCATTATGCATTATAGGTATTCTGAAAGTTGCCACTTTCATTTTCTATTCTCTGTGTACAAATAATTCATACTAGCAGAACTCTAGGGGTAATGAAAACCGACGGTTTTTTATTGGTGAATTTTTGGTTTTTGTGTAATAGATACCCAGTTGCAGAATTGAGCAAGAGTGACTCTGCATTTCATCTAATCTTATATATTTTAGCTTATGAAAACTTTGATATCTTTACTTTTCTTTCATTGATTACTTTAGTTCTCCCAAACCAATGGATTATACTTCAGTTTTCTGTAGCGAGAATTCATGTTGTTTCACTTTGTTTTATACTTCCACATAGACTTCTTTCTGTAATTCCAAGTATGCCTGTTAGATTGAAATAGCGACTAAAGCTGGTTCTTGAGTTGGAAAATACAATGTAAATCGATCTTTACCAATACTCTAACCACAATGAAAAACTTCGGTTTAGCATACCTTTGAGGAGAGTTGATAGCTTTCCCTATTACTATTTTAGCTTCCCCTTTTCGTGGTTGAATTCATTGCGGTACGTTCTCCACGAGTTTGGTTAAGTTAACGAATTTGATGTTATTATTAGTTAATGCGTTTTCAGTCAATACATGGTGTTTTCACTTTTCCAAGCGTGAAAAGTTGGGTTAAGAGTAGTCCTTAGTTTCAATTCGATGGCTAAAGAAGAGTTATAGCTTATGAACTTATATGCTTCTGCTGCTATATCTCCACCGCTTTCCTGATTTCAAGCCTACTTAGAAAGCAGCCTAAAGCAGAGAATGTGGTTTGAGACCAAAGCAAAGGGGTTCAAACTCCATTCTCCCATTTGACTTCGCTGTTCTCTAAAGCGATAAGTCATCTGCTGACATGCATATGGACTTTTTCTGGAACGTACTTGCATATGGACTATCTGCAAAGATTGTATCCCATCAAAGTTTAGTAAACCTTCTTTGTTTATTAGTTATTGTTTCTTTCCCCAATGTATCTTATAAATAATAGGGTGCCAATGCCGAGCATTCAGATGGCAAATTGTTAGAGATGGAACATGCTTATTCTGGTTCTTGGCTTACTGCTACGTACCAGAAAGAAGTTTGTGCAGAGTAGAGCAAAATTATGTTAACCGCATTATAGAAGAGTGCATGCTCTCATTCGGCCTCACCATTGTTATTGCAATAGTGAATTAGTCAAATAGTTTCTTATTCTTTAGTTTATATGTTGTCTGAGGCGAGTTTTCTATTATTGTATCTGGCATTTAACTCATGAAGCAGCTCCATTTACAAATGATGAAGATAGCTGATGCAGAAATATGTCCTCAATTTGAGAGCCATTTTTAGAAGTCTGTTTTTGATACTGTGATCAGAAGGTAGGAGAGAATTTGAGTAGCATGATGTCGCTGTTGTACTGTCTTTGAACAGTTGTATTTTTTCGAAAAACTTGATTAAACAAGCATGAACTAAATATGAGAACACAACAATTAGTGGAAAAAAAATATATTTAGAAGTCAAACTTTCTAGATGTTTGAAGGCCAATCTCTAAAAGTATAGAATGAGCAATGTATCATACGAAATGCCTGCCTATGTTAATTGCGGACCATATAGGGTGGCTAATTTTGAATTGGATGCAAGCTAGAAAAAGTTCAGCCAATTTTTATTGTGTCAGTGTAGGGTTAACATTCAATGACTTTTGATACCTGTATTTATAAATTATTATTCTTTTCGAAAGGAGTGGATATGAAGTTATTGGAAATATAGACAAATTTTACGAGTAAAACCAAATGTCTTGAATCAATTACCAATTCTATGGTTAGATTGGATAATTTTGGCCATTCTAAGATCATAAGTAACATAGTCAGATCTTACCGTCTATATCAAGGTTTTAGTATTTGAAACGTAATTCAAAATTTTAAGAAATCATGAAAAAGTAGTTTTACTTGCAAAAAGACTCCACATGATTTGATAAAAAAATTTAAAAAAATAAAGTAAAGAAATTATAATGTATTATGATATTTAATTTTTACTAACAAAAATACATCATATAAAATAATCCGTTGCATAGCGCGGGCTAAATAACTAGTTAATATAGATTGTACAAGTCACAATCTTTCGGGAAACCTTTGGTGTCCCCTAGTTGTTTCTTCTACCTGTATATGTATATAGTACATCATATCCTCATGAAGAAATAATAAAAATTTCACAAATGTAGTCATTCGTTTTCCGACATTGTATGCAATTTTTTTTTTCTTGAATGACCCTTCTGATATCTAAATATCTTCCTAATTTGTTTCAACTGAACATGAGAAAAGACTCATTGACTATGCCACTAAAAGCCAACAAATTAGATATAATAGGGATTTGTCTTCCTCAATTATCTTCAATAAATTTAATAAGAAATTAAATAATCTAGCCTTGGATGGGGGGTTTAGCATCAAAAGCATATATGTATTGAAAAACTTGTAATGAAGATGAATATAAGAGAAAAAAAGAAAGAAAAGAAACATTACCATTTCTTCTTCCTTCACCTCAGGTCGTTGATCAGAAGAATCAACCATGGCCACCCAAATAATAAGAATCACATAGATCATTTTGTACCTAAGTCTCCTTGATCCCATTTCCTTTAAAGCCACACCCCCATTCGTTTGCTACCCATCTCATCTCATCGAATCTAACATACAAGTTATTTTAAGGGAATATCTGTGAGAATTACAGAGAAAACACAAAAAACCATTTTTCCCCCCTTATCTTAAACAAGAAATGCACACACCCTAACCCCACAACAGAAAAACCCTCTCTTTTCTCTCCCACCCTAAAACTCACAAATGATCAAATTTCAGATAACACACAAAAATAAAATGCTTATCCGAATGTACCCTTTGCACAAGTAGGTGTTTTCCCCTTCACTTTTGCACTGCATTGAACTAGCTATACTCTTCCCTTGTACATCCCAAAAATTGGAATACATGCATAAGAAATGTTGTTTCCTTGAATATAGAAATCCAACCCTTCATCATGTTTGAGACAAATTAATCGAAAATCTTGACCCAACATTTTCTCCAATAAGGATTAAAATGTGAGATATGAGGATTTCTTGGGGTGGCTAGACAGAGCAAAGATGGTTTTGAAATTTTGAGGAACAACCAATAAACCGAGATTAAAAATAAACTACACGAACGTAAGAAAGTTGATAAGGGGGTGTGAGAGAGAAAAGGGGTAGAAACTTTCGACAGAATCACCAAGGAGGACTATTTCAAAAATTTAGAAGGATTTTCTTTTGCATTTAGATTTTGTTTAGCTGCAGGTTTCACAATTTTCGAAGGGAACGAGAAGAATGAGGGAGGGGAGGAAACCAAGGCTTCAAATTTTGACTTGTAAATTACTTTATCTTAATTTTGTTTAGAATTATGCAAGAACTACAATGTGGGGCCTTTTGCAGAATTTCCAAACTTTCTTACTTTTTTGAACACAAGAAGAAAATTCTATAAAATAAAATAAATTAAAAATGTGCATTTTGTGTTTATTTGACATTATTGTTTTTCCTTTCTTTTCTTTTTGCTTTTTAAAAATAATATTCATAAATTCAACTAACCAAAAAATGTTGAGACTTGGTGTCCAATTACTTTAATTTATGGTAGACATAGTTTTAAGCTATATTATTGGTATGAGCTAGAACAAGTCATATCGCTTTAAGTCTTACATCTTGATTTGTGATTTATTCTTATAACTGATTGATGTGATGCTACTCACCCAACACGAGTTAATTCAAGGTTTAATAATCTCGCCACATGGACATGCGTATACTTGTTCTACAAGCAAGACCTAAGAGTTTGTGGCAGGGCAACCCATGATGTTCGGAGGCCCTATTCGAAAATTTAAAATGTGGCTTTAAAATTTTTGTACGCAAATTTATTTTATAAAATACATAAGATCAGAAAATGATTTCAAAAGTAATAATTTCATCTATGATTATTTAAATAGTAACAAGTATTATTTGAAATAAAATTCCCTATAATGGTGAGTTAATGTCTCACCCACTCACTCTATCAGATATGAAGGAGGGCAATTTTTTTAGCGGGAGGAAGACTTGGTTTCTCTGGTGATAAGTTGTTGATTTAGAGAGAACCATAATCTTCTTCGCTATCTTCCTCATCAGCTACGTTATTGCTTCTAGGGATCAAATCTGAGTTTCTTTTTTCCTGGAACCTTCCTGTCTTTCTGGGGAAATTTCAATTTGGTCTCTGCCGTGTGAAGGAAGATCTTATTGGAGGACACTAAAATCTGCAGAGTAAGCTTGGATTAGGGGTTGTTTGTCACCAGATCGTGTGCTTAATTTTGATATAGGGACTCCCGAATCACTTGTGAACTGACTAGCTCACACAAATGAGAATCATAAGTCATAATTGCAGGGGGTTGTTGAATGGTGAGGCCAAAGCAAGTATCAAATCCTTAGTCAAAGAACACATATGCCTCAAGTGTTGTTCTTAACAGATTGGAATGAGTTTAAAATGCACACTAGTTTTGATAATGCAGAGGGGTTTCCTGCTAACGGGAACGCAGGGGATTTGTGCCTCTTTTGGACCTCAGACCGCCTTGGAGAATAACTGGAGTGTATGGGAGACCAGATTGAAAGGATAGACAACATACCTGGGCAGCGGCGGATCCAGGACACAGTAGAACACTGGGCCCGCGTTTCATTAAAAAATTAGATACCGTATGAAAATTATAATTTTTTTTTACTATATCAATTGTACACGTCGATCTTTTTAAATTTTAATATAGTGAATTCATCAATAATGGAGTCTACATCCATACCAATAGCATACTCTCTTTAAGATAAAATAGTTAACCAATTGGCGAGAAATTCATCGCTCATTTTATTACGTAGATAATTTTTCACCTATTTCATTTGTGAAAAGGTTCTCTCCGTAGTTGTTGAAACGAGCAATGTCAACACTAGACAAATCAATATATATATATATATATATATATATATATATATATATATATATATTGTGTCAATCCCTATTTTCACCAGTTACTCTAGTAATTTTTCAAGTGAACAAACCTCATATTCCTTTTAATCTTTTACGTTTTTTACTTTTAGAATTTTAGGTTTCATTGATTGTTTTTCTTTAGGTGAGAATCATTGGAGTTAGAATTTTCAAGTTAAATTTAGAGATGTGTTTTGAATATGTTCATCTGACCCATTTTCCTAATTACACACAATCTTATTATAAAATAATACTGGGCCGAATGACTACAACCGATAAACTAATAAGGGCTATACTAGCTTCGAATCCAGAGAAGGGCTGGGCCGTGGCCCGGGGTGGCCTCCCCCTGGATCCGCCACTGGACCTGGGACTTAATGATAAGAATGAATAGAACTGATCTTCCATGGCTATGTATGGGGGATTTCAACCAGATAGTTTCTTTAAACAGTAAAAGAGGTGGTAATCTAATATCTGAAGGTTTGGCAATGGATTTTTGGGATGTGTTGGAGGAATCCAGGCTAATTGATTTTGGCTTCAACGAGTATCTGTGTACTTGGGACAATAGCAGGGAGGGTGGGGCATTTATAGAGGAAAGACTAGATAGATTTGTTGCACAGCTTGAATGGCAACAAGTCTATCCAAATTTACAAGTCACACTCCTTGAGAGGTATGGATCCGATCATTGCCTGATTTTGATGAACACCTCAGTCGAGGATGAAATTGAGATCAAATGGGGCTGATCTTTTAGGGTGGAGACATTCTGGTCGAAGGACCCTGAAAATGTAGTGGTGGTGGCTAGAGTATGCGAGGATGATAAAGAAAACAACATTCTAAGTACTCTGGCCAAATGTGAAGAGTAGTTAAATGCTTGTAGTAAGGAGAAGCACAGATGTATTATAAAACGACTTGGAATAATTAAAAGGAAGCTAAGAAATGATATGATACAAATTGGCCAATTTTACAAGTCACAATTACTTGCCAAAGAAGCCATCAAGATTTGGAAGAAAAGAGGGATAATTTGGCCAAGTGTTGGAAGAGTTTCGAGATGCCTACTTTGGAGGTTTGGTTCTCACAATTGACTGATGAAAATTCAAGATTAAGGGTTTGTACTGAATATGGAGTATTTATCTACATGTTGGATGCATTGGTGGATCCAGAAAAATTCATTAAGGTCATTTTCCAAAACCTTAAAGTTGCTACCTCAAAACAGGAAAACTGTCTGAAAATGGCTAAGTCTGGAAACGTGACTGTGAAGTCTACTTTGGAGCTCAATTCGAGAAGCATGGATGCGATTCGAGTCCAGAGCCTTCTACTAGATGAAACTAGGTATGTTTTCTAGAAAGTCAAGGTATTGAATAAGGAATGGTTACCCGGAAGGCTTTGAACGAAGGGCTCAAAGATCCTACAAAGTCACAAAAATCTGCCTTGTAAAACATAATTATGCTTTTCATTTTTCGATTAGGATTACTTTCCTTTGCTAGTTTTTGTTCTTCTTCGTATTAGATTATAATTTGGACTTATTTGGCTGAGAGTTGACCTAGCTATGACCTATTTAAGCTTTCTATTTCGTTGTAATCGTTAGAATTTGATGAATTGAAATTGAACCTTTGGGTTTTTGCAAGTTTGCGTACTTGTATGAGCTTTTGTGGATTCAAGCTCGTGAGCTCTTATATCGATTGAATAGTCACTTCAATCGTGGTCGGGAATCTATCCTTATATCAATCAAGCCTTTCCCCAGGTATGGAATTGCACGTTTGATTTCGTTTTATCGGAAACAACCAAGAACTCTTTGTTTTTTGGTTTGAGATCAATCCAATCCTTGGATTGGTGGTTTGCTGCGTAACTTTGATAAACATACACCCCCAGGGTCGTATTAAGTGGTATCAGAGCTCTGGTTCAACTCAGCAACGATTTTGAAGAATTCATGGTTCAAAATCAATGGCAATGGCAGCAGAATTTCAGCAAGGTAACTTGTCCTCTTACACTCATTGTATGGTTGAAGAGAAGTTGTGTGCAGTGGTTGTCAATAGTGAGAGCATATCAAATCTGATTAGCTCAAGGGTCGTCGTTAAATTGGGGCTACCAATTCGAAAACATCCAGCCCTTTATTCTTTGCCATCGTTGGAGGAAGAAGACTCTGTTTTCGTGACAGAGGAAGTGTTCTTGCAATTCATAATCGAAATCTATGTAGATGAATGGCTTCGGAGTCCGCCTCAACCGAGGTAAATTTGGTAGTCTACACATCCATGAATTCCTCAATCTTCTTGAATTTTGAGCACACGTGCTCACAAAGGTGTTCACTAGGTCATCAAGCTTTGATAGCTTGTCGGGTTGTTGTTGTTGTTGAAACCCTTGAACACCTTGTGCGAGATATGGTTGTTGAAAGTTCGAACTTTGGACTTGAGGCCTTTGTTGGATGAAGGTTGCCCGTAGGGTCTTGAAAACCTGGGGGCCTCGGATTAGTCGGTGATGACAAAGAAAAATTGGGGTGGTTCCTCCATTCGGGATTATAAGTATTGCTATACGGGTTATTAGCCCTAGCATTTGCCATGAAATTGACTTGCTCCTCCGGAGTGGTTGCCTCCTTCATTGCTTGGCACTCTGCCATCTCATAGTTAGTGCTC